GCCTCCAGGTTTCTTCTGCCTTGAGTTTCCACGGATGATACTTGTGACCTGAGAGTAACTGAAATGAACCCATTCCTCCTCAAGTTGCTTTCAGTTATATCACAGTGACAGAAACTCTAAAACACCCAGTGAGCTGATATAGGAAAATGACCCATCTACCAGCCATTAGAAACAGCCATTAGCACCACTATAGTGCTGCTGAGGGAGACAGAGAATATGAATAATTAAGAACAGCATCATTGCATCTTTCTGGTAATGGAAACATGGCTGCTCATGTCCAAACTCAGGAAAATAATTAAAGAAGTAAGTCTACACTGGAATGTAGACATGTGATCCAAGATACACATCTAATAAATATATCAAAGGGTATATTTATTAGATATGTATCTTAGCTAGCAAAAGAGCTAGCTAAGAAGACAGAAGTCTACTGTGTGGCCTGGAACACCCCACATAGAGCAGGCAGCTCTGTGAAGACTGTGTTTGGGACCATCTTCCTGTTAATGAAAGGCCCTCATAATAACCAGGTTAATTCTCAACACCATATCACCAGAACATTGGCGATTAATATTGACATATGAATTTAGGAGGAGATGTAAGCATTCATGTCATAGAACAGATTCATAAAGAACATTTCACTTCTTCAATCAGGTACATAAATATATGGATAAATACATTCCATACCTCAATAAAGTATATATAAAATTATGCAACTTAATAAAAAGAAACCCTTATCAAATTACAACTTTTACAAGTTACAGGCTTATCATACTCCAATTGAAAAATTAAGAAACAATTCAGTAAAAGAAGAAAATTTTAAATGACATAGTAATCTGGAGATGTTAGGAAACTGAATGCTTTTAAAACAATGGTGTACAACAGAATGATAGAGAAGAGAACTTTTTTTTTTCTTATGAAAAATTTAAAGTACCACAACATAAGAAGCAAAAAGCTAAATTAGATCAATTACTACAGAAGAGACTGGAGAGGTGGTTAATGGTTAATCATCAGCTGTTGAAAAAGCCCAGTCAGATGACTTCAGTACTGAACTCCCCATTTATTGAAATAGATCATTCCAATGTTACTTAAATCATTATAGGTATTATAAACAGGAGTGATCCTCAGGCAATTTTATGAAGTCAGAGCAATAACACCACAGCCTAGGAAAGCAACAGCAATGACTGAAAAGCAGGTCTGATTTATTCCTAGTGTAGATGCCAAACATGTGACAAACATGTCGGAGACTAAAACAGAAGAATGAGGGCCCCACACTGAAGCCCAAAGAGGGTTTTAACAAAGGAAGGAAACACAGTTCAGTTCCAAGACATCTGGTTACACATTGATTACCAGCCATTATCAGTGGGTGAAAGGGATTTTGACAGAGGACAGATGTTCAGTGTGAAAGGAAATGATACAGTCAGGGAAGGCCCACTAGTAATGTTCTATCAAAAAAAAAAAAAAAAAAAAAAAAAAAAAACCAAACAAACAAACAAACAAAACAAAACAAAACCTAGAATTTTACTCAAAATCAGCAACCACAATACTGGCATTTCTAGCCACAAATGAGACAAAGGGACATAGAACATAGAGAAATAAAGTCTCTGATTCTGAATATGCGAGAACATAGAGAAATAAAGTCTCTGATTCTGAATATGCGAGAACATAGAGAAATAAAGTCTCTGATTCTGAATATGCGAGAACATAGAGAAATAAAGTCTCTGATTCTGAATATGCGCCTCCTTTCTTTGAAAGTTCTCTTCTCTTGAGGCTTCCACAATCAGACATTTTGTTTCATTGCATTAAAAAAAAGATAAACTGCAGAGAACACTGGCCCCTGCCAATGCAGGAAATAGCACTTAGTGATATGGGAAGAATATTGGTTCAGAATATAGATGCTGTATGTAGCATTATTAGGTGAATTTGGTAAGGAAGGTATAGGACACAGTGTATGAAATCTAAAAACAAAAACAACAAAAAACAAAAAACAACAGCAAAAAAGAAAAAACAAAAACAAAGCAAAAACAAAACAAAAACACTATCATCTTCTGAGTTAGAAAGCACATTGTTATAAACATGTCAGTTCTTCCCAAATTATACACAAATATAGTGCAATTTTAGACATTATTTTCCTTTTACATAAAGCTCTGTGTAATAGGGTTGGAGAGAGGACTCAGTGAATAAAGGCACTTGCTACAAAGCCTGCCGACCTGTGTTTGATACCTAGATTTGATACCTAGAACATGCTGGAAGGAGAGGACTACTCTTACTCTTTTACCTTGTCTTCTGACCTCCATATGTGTGCCGTGACATGCACACATAAACAAGTGCAATGAAAACATTGAAAAGAACACTGACAGCCATTCTGAGCATAACAGGTCCCTTTCTATACAATGACTGGGGGATTTTATATAGATTAGGTTTAAAATAATTATTTCTTCTTCCCTGCTCAGTAAATGGTGGGGTTAATAAAAAATTAATTTCAGAAGACTGGAGAGAGGGGCTGAGTGAGAGTAGAGGGAGACAGAGAGACGGGGAAGGAGAGGGGAGAGAGGAGAGGGAGGGCCTGACAAAGGGAGGGAGGGATGAGGGAGAAAGAAGGGGGAAAGAGAGAGAGAGGGAGGGAGGGGTGGGGGAGAGAGGGGGAGAGAGGGAGGAAGGGAGGGGTTGGGGGAGGGGGAGAGAGGAAGGAAGGGAGGGATGGGGGGGGGAGAGGGGAGGAAGGGAGGGTTGGGGGAGGGGGAGAGGGGAGGAAGGGAGGGATGGGGGAGGGGGAGAGGGGAGGAAGGGAGGGTTGGGGGAGGGGCGGAGAGACTGACTCCCTTGTTCTTGTTTTACTTTCCATCGTCCTTGGTCAATGTTTGTGTGCTAGAATCGCCTGTGGAACATTATACAGTAGACTTCAGATTTTGACCTGAGTTCTTGAATTGCAGCAACCTTTTAGGAATCACTGGCTACATACATGCCTCAGCCATCAAGTATTTCAGACTCTGAGAAGAGAAACAGTGTTTCCCTTGAGATGGATGCTACCTGGACCTCACATGTGAGAAGTGACTCATTTTCTTTGAGAAATTAGCAGTGAAAAATAGATGTAAACTAAGTATGGTTTGGGCACATCAGCGTAATCATAGATTGCCAGCTCTTGGTAGGCTGTCAGTGTTCACAACAAGACTGGGTCAAGAAACCAAAAATAAATTCACAAGTGTGAGACCGATTTCCTGCTGCAGCCAACGGCGTGTTTCCATGTGACAGCGTTCCTTGGTGGCGTGTGGAGGGTGATGCCATGCACTTAAAACCAGATTTCCTCTTCCTAGTTTGCCATTTTAACTTCTGGTTTCTTCACCCATATGATAGAAGAGGCAGTAATATTTACCTCAGGTACACCAATCATTCTGTAAGTGCTAGCTGAAGGCAGATTAAGAGAAGCTACACAGTTAACATCCTCAGCTAGAGTGTTTGGGATTATGTAAATGTCATGCCCTGCCTCAGCTGACCTGTGCATAAAAACTCTGACCAACCTTCAAGACTGTGCCGTTCACTACAGTTTCGTCAAAGGCGTAAAGTGCTATCTTTCGTCTTTTTAGTGTCATTTCAAGGCAATACTTTTTAAAATTCCCAGGTCACGCTTGTTTGTGAATATAAATGAATTTGCCTTCATAACCAGCATGCAAGTAAGGTTTGAAAGGCATTGTGGGTAATAACTCCTTCTGCTAAGCCAGGCTTCAGTCACCACAGACAACTTTTTCTCTCCCTATCCCCTTCCTGTCTTTTGTCACAGGGCCCAGAGAAGTAGGGCATAGGTCCAGAACCTCACAGAGTCATTCGGGGAAATGATTTTTTCCTTTATGGCCCTACTATGTTCTGCATGGGCTTGAAAATGTCCGAGAAACTGAAGGAAAGCAGAGGCTGAGGCTCTGTGACTTTCTGCCTATTCACTTTGGCAAATTTCCAAGGTCACCATCATATAAACTTTCCTTTCTTTATTCAGAAACACATGTGCTAAGAACATCAACTTACAAATAGTTGAGCACAGATGACACTGATTACCTGTCACAATAGCACACCACAAGGAAGCCAGTGACTTCTCTTCCTGACTCCTGTAAATGCTGTCTTGAGATTCGAAGTTGGTAGTGACCTTGCTTTTATTTTTTTTCCTTTAAATTATGGGAAGGTATGATAGAAACTGCTATAGTAGTTTTATTTAGAAACTCTTATTTATACTTGAGATTGGAAGAATAGTGATCTAACTTAAGTGTGGGCTAAGGTGTAGGAGGCATACCATAAACCACAGTGTAAGTCTGGCCAAGTGACAGGGACAATGGTGCCTTCATAGAATACTGTATTGAACTTCTGTTTCCCAGATATTAAGGCAGTAACCTTTAAAACCATGTACAAGAAACTGCAATTATTCTTGAATTTCTTCTGGAATCTTCCGTTGACCTGTTCAAAGGCTCTGTCTCTTCAAACTACATTTCCCAACTTGCTTGTTAGCAGGCTGCTCTCCCTACCCTCCTCAGACATACAACCTCCTGCAGGGAGGATGCTCACTTGATCTTATTATTTAATTTTCAAGTGCACTTTTGGTAACCTCTTATTCTCAGCTAAGCAAGGATGCTTATTAGATAAAAGACCAGAAGAGCCCTCTTCCGAGATCCAAGGTAGCCCTCAGTTTGTGATAAGTTGTCACATGGACAGGGACCTGGTGGTCCAGGCTGCAAGGCTCAAGAAAGGAAGTGGCCCAGATAGGTGTCAAGCCAGAGCCCTTCGCATCCCCTTAGGAGGGGATGCCACCCTGGAGCTCAGGTTGCTAGGTCCTCTGTTAGCAGGGTTCTGAAAGCTCCCTGAGCAGGACCAAGGATAAGGCAGGGTGAGGGGTGCCCCTGAAAGCCCAGCTCGTCCTTCTGCACACCTTGAGGAGAAGTCACTGATCTGGGCGGTCCCCAGCTCTGTGAAAACTCAGTGTGCCGACGTCCCTCCTCCTCCCCGGCCTCTCCCTCCCATCGCCAGCCCTCGCGGGGTCCTGCTGCTCGCACCTCCTTGCATGACGCGCACCCCTGGGCGCAGCGGGCGAATGGTCTGGCCCGTTGGTAGCCGCCACCCCTTGGGCACGACAGTGCTCCAGCTGCTCCTGGTCGGGTCGAGCTTCTGAGCTCTGAGCCGTGGCTGCCCCGGGCGGTGGGCGAGCTGAGGGGATCCCAGGGCCACCAGTGCGTGGTCGACGGGGAGCCGCCAGCCGCGGGCAGGGAGTGTGGATCACCAAGGGACCAGCCACTGGAGTCACCTGGCGAGGTGCCTAAGCTGTGAGTACCTAACCTTGCCCCCGCCCCTCCACACCCAGGTGGGGCGCCCATTCTTTCCCGTCCCTGTCCTGGAGAGATGCCCTGGTGGTAGCTGTGAGGAGGGCGGCTGCTGCCAGGCTCGTGATTCAGCACCATTGGCGCCCAGAGATTCGGGCAGAAGGGGGAGGGGACCGGACCGGGTCGTTGTGGGCTCTCACCTTAGTTTCTAGACCCGCTCTGGCAGGGTGAAGGGGCCAGTGCTCCTAGTCCCCACGGGGTTAATTTGTCACGATGCTCTGTCCCCACACCCAGTGTCAACCTCTTCGAGCAAAGTGTGTTGTGCTTTCTTGAAAGTGTGTCAGTGAGATGTCTTTTCCACACATCTTTTCTGTGCTTCTCAATCCACCATAAACCTCTGTATCTGATATCAAAACACCCCCCCCAACTGTGAACATTTCCTGTAGAATTTGTTTTGCATTCATCATGGGTTTGACTGATTCACATAAAAAGAAAAAAAATATATATAGAAGTTATGAATACCTTCATATTTTAGGTGTGTGTGTGTGTGTTTGAGTTAAACCATCATACCAACTCAGAGCCAGTTGTGGGAAGTGAGGAACGAAGATCTTAAACTACGACCTCAAGGTCACAGAACGGGGATTTGAATCCATGTCTCAAGTCATTCCAAAATTCATAGATCATCTACTCTCCCAGTCAGTATTGGGTTCAAGCATGCACTATTAGGTGCAAAGTGTAATGTTAATTTTCACAGGAGTTATATTAAACACTAGCACAACAGCAACTTGCAAACTTTCTGCACATTGCCCTGCACACAATGGAGTGATTGTGTGAGGAAACATCTATTTCCTTAGAATCTAGTATAAAGATGTATTTAGACAACAGTTCATGGGAGAGCTCGGTCCTAACCAGAGATGCCCAACACAGTTTTCAGTGGTGAAAGATGCTGGATGCTCAAGTCTTAGAGAATCAATTAGCATCACAGTGAGAAATCTGAAAGTCATCATTTACTCCTTGGGTAACATTCAAAGGAAGAATGGCTGTCTAGTGTAGGGGGTCTGAATCATGCACAGTAGGGTGACAGAAAAACCCAGACTCAATCTTGTGGCTTGGCATGGCATGTGCTATTTCATTGGTTAAGGAGCTAAAATATAGAGACGGTCCAAGATCATCCAGGAAATGGTCGAATACAAGAAGGCACTTACTCTTGAGTATTGCTTCACTTATTAAAAAAACATGTATGTGTTGTAGTAAGATGGAGATGGGAACAGAGGGGATGGACTTTTTAATTGATGCCCTTGCCCTTCAGAGTCAACAGTCATATGGACCTTGCCTGCTCCTTCTGCAAAACTAATGGACACTAGGTCTTTCTTTCTCCTTGGTGGGTCACTTGACTTGCTTTCATTTGTGATTTATGGATTTTCTCTTAAGATATGCAACTCCTTTTGATGTCTCTGGTGTCAGGTTGCTAATGTACAGATGGTGTTTATTTCTGAATCCTGGCAGAACATTTGATGGCATATGAGAGCATAGCCCATTTACTCCATCACTTCTAAAGCACTGAACCATTTTCTTTAGAGAGTTCTTTTTTTTTTTTTTTTTGTTAATGGGGATATTGACTGCCTATGTGAGGACACAACATGGAGACACAGATTTATATTTGTTATTCAGATGAATGTTCAGGAGAAGGAAGGTCCTGTGTGTGGCCTTAAGTTGGTTTGTAGAAGGTCATTTGATTTGTTATTTATATTCTAAATCTTGGTGAGGCATATTGCAATCCAATCTGTTTGATCCCAAGAGAAAACTCAGAATCAATATGCATGAATAAGCAGAAATAGACTATTACTGCCCTAAAAGCAGAAAATGGAAAGTGCACAACCCAGTAGGGATGTCACAGGCAGCACTTAAAACACCATGTTTCCTTTAGATAATATCACTGAGGGCAAGAGCAACCTGGCTGCAGAAACTCTATCTACTTCCTCTCTGCCTCTGTATGTATTTGACTAATAACTACCAAAGCATCTGAATTTCTGACTTCAGAGAACTCCAAGTCTAGCGTTAACTTACCAGAAATAACCAGAATGGCATAGGATGGGCTCAATACCAGCAGGCAATGTAACTTCCTGAAGAGAATAGGGAAGCGGGGTGGTCAGAGGACTGGGATATCTGCATTCATAGAAGTGAATTCAGTGACTCTGCAACTCGAACTGATTTCCATAGGCAGAGAAATGGGGTCAGCTGAGATGTGCTGGGCTCTGGACTATGAAGAACTTCGAGTGTCAGGCATGAGATCTGGAACTACTAGAGATATTTTTATTCAGAGCAACTATTTCTTGTGCATTTTCACATTTTTTGTTTGTTTGTTTGTTTGTTTTCCTCAATAACCTGGAAGAAAAATGGAATCTCTTTTGGCATTATAAGAATTATTATCACCTAAATGCAGGAAAAGCATTCTATGAAAATAAATTATTTCTGTTCTCAAGAGAGTCACCCTTTAAATTTGTAACCACTGCATAATATGTACAAGTTGGAAAGTATAAAAATATAAATAGCATACTCTTACCAAGTAAAACAACCATTGATGGTGTTATCCATGTGTGCCTTTAATCATACTGTATTAATTATTACTGATTTCTTCTTACTTTTAATTTTCTAACTCTAGTTTTCACCAAATTATGAGTACGAAACATTTTCAGTGCCTGTGTAATTTTCCATGAGGTAGACATTCTAGAATTTCCTAATCATTCCTCATTGTGAGTATATTATTGATAATAATCATGACACATTTATGAACACCTTGATGCATGAACTTTTTTATTTTGAATAATAATTGTATAGGCTAGCCTCTCTGGAGAAAGGGTATAAAAACCTTCATAGTAGACTATTTTAACAAGTTTTGAATTTATACTAAATTTTATGTGTTTAATTTAGGAGTTTGGATGTGGGGTATGGGATATTTGTATTTTGTTAAAAACACACAGCCATGTATGTGTCTCCTCAGATCACACTGCTTCAGGCAACTCCACTTTTCATTAGAACAGTTAACTAGATCCGAACTGAGATAAAGGTGGGTATTGAGGACTAGAGAAGAAAGAAGATGGAATTAAAGTCAGGGAACAGGCTTGGTGAGCTGAGCATCATCGGGGCTGCGGGCGGGGGAGGGTGGTGTCTGGTCAGAGGGGAAGATCATGTGAGAGAAGGCCTTCTGCTCCCAGGGTTGGGTTTGTGGCCTCAACTTTTGCCTCCACTACTTTTCCTCTAGCAGAAACCACACCCCCAAATTAGTCTCCTTCAAACTTCAGCTTCTGTTCTCCTGGGTTGGATCCCTAGGTCTTTAGTTTTGGTAGGTACCCTAGTGATGCTGGGCACAGATTGGAGCTCTCTCAGATTATAATTTAGAGAATCTGTGACCCCTTCACACCCCAGGTCTTAGAAGCCCCCAGTAGAGCGTGCAGGGTGCATGCTTAGCACATTTGATGGACTTTGGAGACTATACACTATTTGCCAGAGGTGACCTTTGAGAACAGTGGCCGCCAGGAGGTACATAGAATCTTAGTGTCACCTCCCACTTCATTTTCTCACAAGAGGAAAGAAATCCCCTGTAGAGGAGATTGTGCCTCGGTTTCTCTTATGTGCTGCAAAGACCCAAAAGTTCCCTCTCTATTAAGAGTAAAACAGGAGCCCAATGTTGAAAGAATGCTTTGCCTAGACTCCTGACTTACTCCCCAAAGTTATGAGTCTGGGGTTCCCCTGGAACCCACCTCCAGCCTTCTTGCTTGACACCGCACGTACATCTCTGGGTACCATTGGAAGGGGAGTCAAGGGAAATGACTGTACTTGAGGGCACAATTAGGAGCTGAAGCTCTTTCTAACGAGTCAGTCTTGAAGCAATGGGAACTACAGTGTTCTGTAAACCACCAAGGAACCTGACCTCCCTCTCAGGCCCCGAGACATGGTTTCTGATGGACCTGAATAGGCTAGGCTTTCAAGGACCTGAATATTTTAAGCTGAATTTGTCTCATGCTTAGTTGAAGCCTATTATCTTATTATAGTTTCCTTACATTCTTAGAGGCTTGTAAATCCATTTCTGTTTATCTCAAGCATTATTTATCAAAAGTAAAGTGGGTTTAGCAAACAGTGTCCCTGGAGTTAAAAGCAGAAAGTTTAAAAATTTTAACAGTCTGTTCCCCTTTAGCTTCTATTCCCATGTGACACTTAATCACATGACTATCCTTAGTGTATACTGTTGGTGACAAAGCCATGGCAATGGTCTCATTTAGGCTTTCGGGGAGGAATGATAAGTTAATTATATCCCTTTCTTCTCTACATTTTTTACTTGAAAGCACTTGGTTGGTTGATGCTTTTTTAGGTTTTAGAATTCAGTGGGCAAGAACTCACTGTGTCTTCCTTCAGGATGGCCCAAAAATCTTTGGGTTGCTTTTGTTCCCCTTGAAATCAATGATATTGTTGATATGCCCAACTGCCCATATTGGTCATTATTTGTAAATTGCTGTGACACCTGAGCTTTCAAACCTGTGTTATTTTTGTCCCTCTGCCTAGCTGTGTGAAATGGAGTATTATATTTGACAAAGGGTTATTTTTGAACATTTCTAGCTCCCTCACCCACTGTTTTTTTGAAGTGTGAACTGGTACCACAGCTAATTCGACAAGATGAAAATAGCATGGCTTCTTTTTAACTTTATTTTTATCCTAAAAGTTTCTCCCTCCTCATTTAGTGTTTGGGCAGTGAAGCACTATTTTTAAAGTAAGATGGACATTTAGAGATTTAGGAGGGGGAAAAAAAAGCAGTAATCCAGGCAAAGTCTTCAAGATCATTCCATGACTGTCGGTCATTCTATGGTTGGCTTGTGGACATGTTTTGGTACTCTCATTAAAGGGTTTCTTTTAAGTCCTACTTGAATTGCGTGTAGAATTTGTTTCATATATATATTCATATATATCCCTACATATATGAAGTATTTTTATTATTACTCTTTAGGGGG